ATTTATTTTTGGGGTCTTTGGGTTAGGTACAATGGAAGTTGATGAGGAAAACAACACATCGCCTTCAGCAGAAGAATCTTCAATTGCAGTGCCTAATGGTCAGGCCGTGGCGGGTACTGTTAGCATCCCTCCCCTTCCACCAGTCCAGCCAATCGTTCCAGCCCTTATCCCACCTGCAGCTGTGCCTCCTATTGCTCCAATTCCTGCAATTGCCCCTGTTGTCCGCCCATTGGCACCTCTACCTGTTCGACCACCTGTCTTTAAGCCACCTGTGCAACAAAATGGTGAGGCAAGGACTAGTGACTCAGACTCAGAGGATGATGATGCTGGACAAGCTACTGGTGGTGAATATGAAATTTCAGAAGAGAGCAGATTGGTTAGAGAGCGGCAGGAGAAAGCAAGGCAGGAACTTTTGATGAAGCGACGTGCATCTGCATTGGCAGTGCCTACTAATGATATGGCTGTCCGGGCTCGTCTTCGCCGGCTTGGTGAACCTATAACTCTTTTTGGAGAAAGAGAGATGGAAAGACGGGACAGGTTGCGGATGATTATGGCACGGTTGGATGCTGAAGGGCAGTTGGAGAAGCTGATGAAAGCTCATGAGGAAGAAGAGGCTGCGGCTTCTGCTCCAGCAGAGACTGATGAGGAAGAAATTGAATATCCTTTTTATACAGAGGGCCCAAAGGAGCTTTTAGATGCTAGAATTGAGATTGCAAAGTACTCTATAGCAAGGGCAGCTGCACGTCTTCAACGTGCAAAGAGGAGAAGGGATGATCCAGATGAAGATATGGATGCTGAAGTAGATTGGGCCCTGAAGCAGGCAGGAAGTTTGATTCTTGATTGCAGTGAAATTGGGGATGATCGACCACTCTCTGGCTGTTCCTTCTCGTATGATGGAAAACTGCTTGCCACCTGGTGATTATCTCTCTCTAGCATTCTCTTTCATATCCCACCCGCAAGAAAGAGAAAGCTTCAATCTTATCAATTCATTTTTCAGTAATCAAAGCTTTTGTTTAGAATAAAAATATAAGATCTGCCAAGTATGTATGCTTACATTTTTCACCATCTATTTATCTTAATCTCAATTTTGATGAATTTGCATTAGTGTTTATGTTGCAATTAAAGGACAAGGATGAAAATAATCTCCTACTTCTTTTTCCTGTATCTCAACAAATGTTTTAAGCCTTTATATCATGTGTAGATAAAAATCTACTTTTAGTCTCCTTTTATCCCTGTTCAAAAATTATAAATTAAATTGTTTTAGGATGGTTATTCATTTGTCCTTGGAATTGCTACTAATGATATATGATAATAACCAAATGTCCTGGTTTCTTCTGCCTTTTCAGTTCCTTGAGCGGAGTTGCCAAATTATGGACAATGCCTCAGTTAAATAAGTTTTGTACCTTAAAGGGACACACAGAACGTGCAACTGATATTGCATTTTCTCCGGTGCATGATCATTTAGCGACTGCCTCTGCTGACCGGACAGCAAGGTTGTGGAAAACTGATGGATCTCTCCTGAGAACCTTTGAGGGCCATCTGGATCGCCTTGCGCGTATTGGCTTCCATCCTTCAGGGAAATACCTTGGCACAACAAGCTTTGATAAAACATGGAGACTTTGGGACATAGATACTGGTGTTGAGTTGCTGCTCCAGGAGGGTCATAGTAGGAGTGTCTATGGGATTGCCTTCCACCATGATGGATCATTAGCTGCTTCCTGTGGACTTGATGCCCTTGCGCGGGTATGGGATCTTCGCACTGGGAGAAGTGTACTTGCTTTGGAAGGCCATGTGAAGCCGGTGAGGCTCTAATTTTATTGGTACTATCCTCTTTGAGGGGGGGATGGGTTCAAAGTTCAAGTCTCTTCAAGATTTTTGTTTTGGTGAAGAAAACTAGGAATGCCATTATTTTTCATAATTGTTCTTTGGATAAGAAGTAACTAATTCATGTATTTCTTATTCGCATGTCAGGTACTTGGTGCCAGCTTCTCACCCAATGGCTATCATTTAGCCACTGGTGGTGAAGATAACACTTGCCGGATATGGGATTTGAGGAAGAAGAAATCCTTGTACATTATACCAGCACATCAAAATCTTATATCAGAAGTGAAGTTTGAGCCCCAAGAAGGCTACTACTTGCTCACTGCTTCCTATGACATGACTGCTAAGGTGCAAATCCTTTCTACACAAATATTCAAGTTTTGACCTCAGTTCTGTTAATCTATCATCTAATACTTGGACACTTGTTCACAGGTTTGGTCAGGCCGAGATTTTAAGCCAGTCAAAACCTTACAGGGTCATGAAGCTAAAGTCACTGCTTTAGATATTAATGGAGGTAAGTTTTTGAAGTTTGAAGCATTAAACCATTATCTATGTATCTAAATCTTTTCTCCTCTTTCTCTTTTCTTCAAATGTCTTTTCTTTTGTTTGATTCTTGTTTTTTTTCTAATATATTTCTTCCAAACTGTATGCTTTTGCAATCGTTATTAAACTAAGTTTGATGGAAGAAATGAGATTACTTCGTAATTAATGGGATGTTCCTGGGGTGTAAAAAGTTCCCATGAAATTGAAGGTCTCTCTTAAAAATTTTCATTTTTGGAGAAACACTGAATAAGGCATGGCTATTGTAAAGAGTTTGACTGAGCAAGTCGAATACTTTTGTCTGCCTTTCCTTTACTCATTGTCCATCATCATTCCACAATGAACTATTATTGACATTTATATCATCAATCTACAATGAACTATCATTGTCCGCAAGGTATTCAAATGATCAGGATATCTGACAATGTGTTCTATAAAGTTTTTACCGGATACATGTTGGACATCTATAAATGTTTGCAATCTCACCTTCCAAATACTTCTTATATTAACAGTTTACCTTTCTTAGCTATCATCTTCTAGTGTAATAAGTTCTGTTATTTGATTGCAGATGCCCAACATATTGTGACCGTCTCTCATGATCGAACAATAAAGCTATGGGCCATCGCCAGTGACAGAAACCAGGATATGGATTTGGATTGAGTAATTCCTGAACTCTTCTAGTAATGTCTAAGATTGGGGAGATTGTTGTAATGTCTGTGTCTCGAGAATTTTTGTTTTCCAAGTGAATCAAAAGTAGGTTTTTTCTTGCGACACCAGACAAATTTGAGGTCAACAATTTTACAACATGGATGTAGTCTACTGGTCTGTACCAGCGAGAAACGAAGGGAATACAAGTTTTTAACATTGAGGTCTATAATCATTTGGCATTTTCAGGATTGGATTCGAACTATTATTTTCTGATGTGGAAAATACGAAACTAATAATAATGAGGGTTTTCTTAATGCAAAATATGTATTGCAATCTGTTGTTATTAAAGAGAAATCACTTATAGGAAAGACCTCTTTATCCAATGACTGATATTTTGCAGTTTGATGTAGGTTGCTCTGATAATGGGAGCACTCAGATAGCCAGCAAGAACATAATAGAGATGAGGGGATTTATGTGTAACAAAATGTCAAAACCTCAATTAGATTTAAAATATATCAAACATCATAAGAATAAGTATACCGATCCCAACGACAGTAATAAAGAATTACACAAACATGAATCTAAGAAAGAATCTCGGCCGTCCAACAATTAATAAAATTAATAGCATGGATGAATCGTTCAGAGTTATAATACGCGGTATCTCATCTGGCCCATGATACTGAATCAATCTCATCCCTCGCAGCTTTGTATAGTTCCAGTCTCTTTGCACACTGCAGTCTCCTTTCCATCAATGCAGGGTCTTCGTCTAACAACTGTGAGAGCTGCTTAGCCTGAAGGAGATGGAAAAACAAGATACAGTAAATGAATAACTCCGGGAAATGAGAAAGAAGGAGATGGAGGGGAAAAGTGAAATTACCTCTTTCTTCCCAATTTGTGTGTAGAAGTAGTTCAGCAGTGACTGTTTGGCCTCTCTAACTTGACAATAAACCACAGCCTTTGGAATTGTAAGCCTGAGTGTCTCAGACACCATATTCACATAAGATGATACATTTGACCCTATTCTCCGGAAATGGCCCTCTGCATAACGGTCTACAGCAGGGGCAGCAGGGGTAGCAGGGTTGGCAGCATTTCCTATTTTCTCTATTTCCTGGGGAAGCCTTCGGAAGAAATCAACTGTTAAATATGAAGATTCCATATCCACCAATCGAATAACCGTCTTCTTACTTTCATCCCGGAACTTCTCCAAGGCTTCATTAGAAGCTGCTGCTATTTCAGCTTGCAAAGTTGGAAAGCGCTTCAATTCCTGTTTTAGCAAGCATCAGGAACCCCTCACCTTTGGATAGAAACTTTAACAAATTATACTAGATTAACCAGTAGATATATCCATAATTCTCACCTGAGTTTCTCCTATTGACTTGCGCACAAGTTCTTTCAGGACAAAGTGAACCTACATCACAGTGCAATCTCTAAGTCAGCTAAAATGTTGGTAACAACTTCCATAACGTATTTTGATGGCAGTAAAAAAAAATTAGTGTCGGGACAACTTACAGCATCCACAGAAGCTTCAGCTGGGCCCCTGAAATGGTTTAGGGCACCTTCAATCAGCCTTCGGTAACCTTGCTCAGGGGCAATCAAGTGTGGCTGATAACCATCTGCCTCTGAGACCACTCTCTTAACATTTTGCAGCGAAAGATGCCGATCAAATGGAAGCTTTCTTAAAGCAGCAGGAAGCTGGTTGTCAAAGACTCCATAAATACGATCACCTCCTGGTCGCCTAAGAAACCACAACCCAGAGAATTTAGCATAAGCACTCAAGAACACAGTAAAGGAAAAAGCATAAAAAGCACAGAAAGTTTACCCTCCATCAAGATGCTCCTTGAATATCCGATCAAATGCACGACAGAGTTCTAATATGGTGTAAAGTTGAGCCTACAATACAACATAACATTTATATTCCACACACAGAAACTTTGCTAAGGATAACAAGACAGTGGTGATACTCACCCCTGCATCAAGAGCAATAGGCCTGCCAAGATGGTCCATCTCCTTCTCTAGTTCTTCAATGCTTTTATTAATCAAGGACGTGATACTTGGTATCCGAGCTCTAATTACAGACTCCAGATGCTGAAAACAATGTCACATCAAAATTAACCCCTAAAAATAACAAAACCTGCCCCAAACTGAAAGTTACTCAAAATCAAACCTGTGAGAGGAGTTTCGCAAGATACTCAGAACCCATTTTACTTGCTAAGTGACTATAGTCAGGACTAGTTGCAAAATATTCACGCTCCTTGCGCCTTGCCACAATCATGTCAACATTTTTGTTGATATCAGCCTGCGAACGGTTCACAATTCCTACCCATGGGTGCTGCAACCGGTAAGATCTCCCTTCAAGAACCTTAAAAGAGAAAAACAAATTAAAGGTCATTTTTCTCCAAAGACAGAGAGATCATTAGTGTGTGTGTACATCTCATGGCCCTTGAAGCTTGAAAGTACTGTTTATTTCTAACGAGCAATGGCATGAGGTACAATTCTGAGTGATGGCATTCTTTGTTATTTTTTTGGTTTCCTTCACTGCTTAGGCCATGCAGCAACTCCTCCTTCCTTTTTTTCTTTTTTTTGCCCTTGTCACCTTTTTAGGGTATTTACTTGCAAGCCCCTCATATTTTTAAATCTGAAAAATTAAAACTTATAAGTTTTCACAATTTTTTTTTGGGGGGTTTCCACTAGCAGCTTGAGAAGATTTTTTATAAGCCCCAAGCCAAAACTTTTAAATAAAAATAATAATGATTTTGAAACCTTTCATTTCAACAAAAATAAAACCCCTTTTTGGTAAAAAAAAATCATTAGATCTATAAAAAAGGATATATCTATAAACCAGTTAACATCATAATTTTACTTTTCATACTGCCCAACTAATCTAATATAGCCTCAATTGCAAAGATTTGAGATTTCTAAGCTATTTTGAATGGACATTCATAAAGACAAAAACTGGATTCACATGCTTGAGAGAGAGAGAAAGAGAGAGAGAGAGAGCTTACATCCAATGCATTAGTTCCTTTGTCCATTAAGTCAAGCTTAGTTAGGACCCCAAATGTTCGTTCACCTGAGAGAAGTGAAGAGGCAGATTTCAGAATGGAAGGGCAAGCCAAGCAAAAATATATGCTTTCAATGGCAAAATGGTTGATAACTACTGCATACCACTGGGATCTACTTCCCTGGCAAGTTTGATAGCATCTGAAGTTGCTATATCTTGATTGGCTGGAGATATAGCTAGTATGATACAATTAGGCTACAAAAAGGTAGAGTTGTGAATTAAAACACAAAGAAATTACTATAACATAAACAAGTTTGGCAAAATAACATTGGTTATCCACATTTTTTAGAAGTCGGAAGGGATACTGCTAAATATGCTACAGTACAAGCACCTGCTTGACAACAGCAACTTGCATTATATTTATGAAACAATAAATACAAGTGAATAGTAATGTAAGTATGTAAACGGGGTTACCCAATAAAGAGTTCAAAACATGAGCATGTGTTATAAGTTATAACATCATAAAGCATATTAACAAGAAACCAAGACTTTGGTTAACAAATTAAGTAATTATCATGTAGCCTTAATTGAAATAACACCATAGTACACTGAAGGATTCATCTCATAACAACTCTCATCTTTTACAAAAGAAAGATAATGGATGTATACCTTCTCAACATAAGTTCGAACCATGTTTTCAATGTCTTGAACAATACTCTCAGGCTGTCCCTCTGAAAAGAATAATCATCTCCAATATGACTGGAATATAAAACCAAAACCATGTATAGGTGAAATTCATAATAAACAATTGAACTAGAGACATACCAATAGCAACTTTTGTCAAACCCGGCAAGTCAATCAGCGTCAAGTTGACAACTGCAAAAATGGTATTGGGAAAACTAAATTTAAAACGAAGCAAGAAAAATCAACTCTAAGTAAAAATGATGATTTTGATAGCAGACCATATGGAGAGTAGATACTGAGATGAATAGGAACAGCTGATATCTGTTTTGTCTTCCCAGTTATCCTGTCAGTTTCATCCTGGATTTCTTTGCGGACAAGTGCTGCATCAAGATAGAGAAGCTACTCAGAATGATTCTAAAAATCCTCATTATACTATGAAGAGAAAACATTTTATAAAAGAAATTGGGGAACATGATCAGCTAAAGATTTAGTTGCTCATATCTAGGCTACATCACAAAAATATCTGTTTGAAGAGGACGAAACATAAGAGAAGAACTCTTATCTATACAAAGCTCGGTTGAAGAGCTTCTCAAGTTTATTATATTCCAAGAATCAAAAAAAGATGTAATTTGAAACAAACATAATGTTTAGACGAATTGATGAGAGTATGCATACAGAAATCAGAGAATCTCCTCTTGGGTAGATGAAGAAACTCAGCATACTCTTGTGATCCTTGCTCTGTCTTATGAAGCTGCAACACCAGGGGCCTTCTCGTCACAATTCCTGCAATAATCATTAAAACCTTGATTAAAGATTTAAAAGAAGCTAATCAAAGCGAATTTCAATTCCAATTTCACTGTCCAAGATGAGAGAAATTAGAAATAACTTCAAATATACTCACCAGATCCTCTGGGAAGAAAGTCTCGGCCGACTATGCTCTCCAACACGGACGATTTTCCCGAACTCTTTAGCCGATTTCACAGATAAGAAACCAAAAGACAATACCAGGTTCAGTAACAAAGACGAAACCTGGTAAAAATCGCGTAGAAGATAGGGAAAAAGCCGAACCTGTCCACCAACAACAGCGACAGAAGGAAGAGCCTCCCATAGGGAAGAGAAAGCATTGTCGCCGCCACCATAGTCTCCGAGCATGGTACATGCTCTCTGGATCCTGTTTACCAACCCGATCAAGCTCTCCATAGTCGTCATCTTTCCGTGGATCAAGAACAATTCAGACAGATCCCTACTTCTTAGCTTAAATTTTCGATATTTTGAGAGCAGAACAACCCTAAGAATCGGAGGAGAAGAGGGACGACGAAGCTGACTTTACACCAACGCGAAAGAGCTTCCTTAGCGCAGGGAAATTAATATTAATAGAGTAAGATGGAGAAATGTCGGAGTCGGGGAAAGATATAGCCCGCAGGCCGCAGCCCGCTACCCGGTTTTTGCACCGTTGTAATAAAATTATTATAATATATTTCTTTTTTATTTGACGCGTTTGAATGTTTGAAATTTGAATATTCGAGAAGATGGGCCCTACCTTAAACGGTCCACTCCTGGGCTCCAAGCCGTTACCCAATATAGGAAGAATATAAATTCGGCATATTTTGTGAATTGGTGCGTGACTAGTGGGCGATAATGGCGTCGCTCAGGCCCAACACATATTCCTTCGAGTTCAACTAGCTCCAGGCTGGAAGTAAATTAACAATGTCTTTCAGAAGAGAAACCTTTTTCATTTTATTAATACCATCAATTATTACCACTAAACAGTGTTTGAAATTACCTATTATGGCGCCCGTGCATTTTACTCATCACAATTTTATAAAACACAATTACAGAAAAAATTACAAAGATTTATCAAAATATATTTATTATTTATTAAAATTTCATATTTACTTTGAAAGCAATTAAGAAGTTCACATAATGACATGCGTTTTTTTTAACAATAAATTAATTATTAAGAATTTATTTAACTTGTAATTTAAAAGTTTAAAGTACGAGTTAAGAATACATTTATTACAGATTTTTATTATTAATTTAGATAAAAAAATTACAAAATAAATTTTATTTTCAACATTAATATCATATAAAACATTTTAATTAGATAATTGATAAAATGAAAATTAATTTTTATTGTTTATATAAATTAATAATAAAAAAATACAATAAATACATACAATAAAACAAGATTAGAAAATTTCAATTATTAATAAGGAAAAAATTGAAAATAAAAACTTTAATACTGTATTAAAAATTAAAATTGAAAAGTACTACAGCCGTGGAGTCCCATGGCACTGGCAGTTATCAATAATCTCACTGAATGATACTGTTAATTTATTGAGATCTCATTTTCATAAACCATGGCAAAAAGCACCTAGGTTTTCGCAGTCTATGGTTATAAACCTTATAGTAAGATGCCCCCCAACCCAATGGGCTGGGGTTCAAATCCCCCCTCCCCGAAATGTAACCCATTCAAAAAAAATAAACCATGGCAAAGAAAAAAAAAAAAAAAACGATACAAACAAACAAACAAACAGAAACAACCAACGAACCAGCCAACCAACCAACCAACCAGCCAACCAAACAAACCAACCATATGAAGTTATGAACAACCAATACTACCATGCACTTTTAAAAATCATGGCTTCGGCATGGGGCTTTCAGGATTGGTGGAACGTCTGGGTGGAGTTAGTCCTCCTTGTAAACTACAGTTGGGTATTCTGGAACCCACATGTTATTCTGCACATAGTTTAGAAGCTCCTCCTGCAGAATTTGGGCATTTATGTCGTTATTGTCAATGTAGGGTTCAGGAGTAATTAGTTTGGAACAGCCAATTTACCTGGCTCTGGCTGAGTTTCTTAAGCTCTCGAGCATCCACTTCCCTGTATCCTTCGGCAAGATCCTCTTCTATAGCTTCCTTCACAATAGCTGCAGCTACCTCCTTTGTAATGTCTCGTATCCTGCATTCTCAAAATCAGTTAATATGTCCAATTATTTAATGAAAACATCTGAGAGCTGCTTTGCACAGAGAGGAAAGGGCCAAGTCCTATACTTGGATATTGGAGGGTATACGATGCCCTTTAGAACCTCCTCTTCAGTCATATATGAAGCCAGGCTGAGATTTTCAAGAAAACAAAGATCAGTGACTAAATCAGTAAACCATTTTTGCTTTTCAGTGATAAGAAAAAGATAAGGAACTTTGAATCATACAACCATTAGAGAAATCAACAAGGTGCAAAACAATATACGAATGAATCAAGAACATAGCATACAAGAACTTTCCAAATAATCTTTTTGTACAAACATTCACCAAAAACAAGAGCAAGCGAAAAATACCATTCTGCTGCAGCCTGTAGCATGCCATCAGAAATGATCCTAGAGCCTGATAGGAGGGTACCAAGTCCGATTCTGAATAAACAGATAGTAAAACAATATAGAACAATGAATTAAGTATCTAGAAGATATCAGTGGAATTATCCCAATAGCTAAGTGGAAAGCAAAAACTGACCCTGGAAAGAGATACATGTTGTTTCCCTGGTTACTATGTCCAACATCACCATTTCCTGCAGAATTTAACAGATATACAGTTCCAAGCCGTCATAATCATAGAAGAATTTTCAAGGAGAGATTTTATCTACTGAACTTTCTGTATCAAAATAAAGAACTCCAAGCTGCTAAAGAAGACAATGCTTGTGTCAGTGTAAGCATACATGGGGGCATATGCTGCATGTCCAAGTGCTTAATCATGTAGCTTGCATTTCATCCCTATGATTTCATGACTATTACGACAGAAAAATACTTTTAGAAAAGTTCCACCAAGCATACCAAGATCAACATCTTTGAATGGACTTCCACTGGCAAATATAATGTTTTCACCAATAATCGAGAATGCTTCTTCTGGGGTGCACTCAGCTATCATGATGAGAAAGAAAGGAAAGAAAAGGATAATCATGCATATGTAAATGTTCTCATATTTTTAAAGAAAACTGCAATATTTCTATTTCAGAAAATTCTTTACAGCAAAAAATCTATACCATTTTTTGTTGGGTTTGACATTGCAAAGATAGCTGGTCTGGTTGAAGTCGAATGTTTAAGTGCCTCTAATACCTAAAAAAGAATATGCATATTTAGTGGAAGAAGGAAACTGACAAAATGCTTTAATTATGAGAAACAAAACTTAGGCAAAATACATATTAGCTAACTTGCATATAAGTTTGTAGATTAGATATTAAGCATCACCTACAAAAACCAGAGTCATTAATTCCATAATTCTTACAAACAGTACCAGAAAACAAAATTATCTAAATCTTTCTTGACATGTAAAAATCATGGTATACCTCCTTGGAGAATAACCCTCCAACTGCAGATAATCCAAGAAGCACGTCAGGCTTCACTTGCTCCACCTGGTCAGCATAGATTAAGCAAAGGTATAAGAAATGATGTGCTTAGAAATATCAAGATTAAAAGGTCTTTCTGGTACATGATTCTAAAAAGGTACAAATAAAATCACCAAACATAAAACAATTTCATAAGTAGATGGTAGATTGATATTCGTTGAACTTGGCAACCAACAGAACAATTTGATTCAGATAATGCAATATAAATGATACATTTGCAATCTACAACAACAGGTGTTAGAATTTCACAAACCACTTCCACAAGACTTGCGCCTTCATGCAATCCTTGACGATCAACTTCTTTGAGTTTCCTTGCAAAGGGCAGGGCATCTAGATCAATATCTTCACGTGCCTCTGTGATTAGACCCTGGATAAAAATAACAGGTTTGATTACTATTTCGAGCAAATGCTGAATGGTCTCTCTTAACATGACACTATTGTCCAACTTTGAGATGAGAAATCACAAGAAACAATTTTATAAAGTAATTTGATACCAACGATCCTTTAATTGTGAAGACCTCTTTCAGCTATTTCTTTTTCCTTCCATATCTTATTTAAAGGTGTTATAGGAAAAGGTATAACAATCTATTTATACCATTTTATTTTGCCCATTCAAGGAAAGTTTTAACCTCTTCTCATCTAAAAAAAAGCTAGTCAAAACATTGTAACAGGTTACAGCTGGCCCACATGTTTTATATGTCTATAAATTCAGTCCATCAACTACAGATTTCAATTAAAAACAAAAGATTCTCCTCACACCAGGTGAAGAAAGGTGGTCAAAATTTGGCAATTGAAACAACAATTCTGTAGCCTAAGATTCTAGAGCATTTGTGAAAGAGTTCGATACTTAACCTTGGCATCAACCACCCAGAATTGCCTTGTTGCACTATCAAAAGCAGTTTCAGTATCTCCCAACATCCTTGCCATTGTTTTCCTTGCAGCATTTAGAACCCCAATTCCTGCACTGTAGTGATGAAAGATTATGCAAACAAGCTCCAGTATCTTCAAATAACATACTTTTTATTTTATAATTGTTTAAAATGCCTAACCGACCTCCCAGCACCAGCAACAACAATCTTTTGTTTTGGAAAGTCAATCATTGGTCTTCCTTGTGCCCTTACAGCTCCAAGAAGACCAGCAATTGCAACACCAGCAGTACCCTGTATGGCAAACCAAAATACAATCAGGGTAAAGGGCAAAGGACAAAGTGTCTACATGTCAACCAGAATCAAAATATGGTCATTATATTACTGAGATATTGTGTCAAATTTAAACAGTAATTACTGAACTCCCATTCAGACAATAGCATAAGAGATCAACATAAAGTCTGCATAAAAGCATGTCAGCTGTAATTGAAAATCAAGCCAAGACAAGATCTTGGATCATGTCCTTAGTGTTTGTAAGAAGTGTTTAGGGTGTTATAGATTTTCGGAGCACTAGAACTGGATTATCTCCCCTTTATTATTTAAATTTTCCTCTATAAGGATTAGCTTTTTCGCTATTCTACACTAGCACTGCTTTAGTCAATGATCTTTGCAGTTCTGGGGCTACCTAAGATCAATACTTCCCAAAATCAAAGTAACACTCACAAGATGATAAAAAGTCCTCAAATACATTGTATCATTTCAAAATAACCAAAACCAAAGACGAGTCCTAATTATAAAACATGGGAGCAGGACTCTGCTAAAAGGAATGCTGATTCTTCTAGCAAGATACATTTACTGGTCTCAGCTTAGAAGCTGAAAAGCAAAGCCTATATTAGATCATCACAGGGTGAGCTATCCAGAAAATTTTGTGGTAGGCTTGCAAAAAATGAGACGCTACATTAAGAGAAAAACTCAATTACCTGAACATCATCATTAAACATTCTATATGTATTTCTATACCGCTGCAACAGCTTAAAGGCCCACTTGCTCTGGAAATCTTCAAACTGCAAAAGTCTTAAGTCCATTAATGTCTCTTAAACAAAGAGTGCTCAATAATTGCTTCTAGCTGCTGGTTGATAAGACAGACATAACTGCATTACCTGGACAATCACATGTGGCCAACGAGTAAACACAGCCTCCATGAATTCATCAATCACTGAAAGATACTCATCACCTTCAAGACGTTGTTGTTGGAGTCCCAAATCTATTACAAAGTAAAATATCTCCATTACCATATAACAGGGTATAAAATAAACCCATAAAACATCCAAGTGCATAATAGGAGGTTGATGAAATGGATGATGCATGATGGGGTTACTCACACAAGGGGTCTTTGAGCAGCTTCTCATTGTTGGTTCCAACATCAATCATGACAGGAAGTACCTAATCAAGGGTAAAACATCAGAGTTTTCAAAGATTTCTAGAAAACAGTAAATAAGATTGCCATAAAAGTATTTATAAAATGTAACTGTCAAAAAAAGGGTCAAAAAATAGAATACCTAGCAAGAGGTACTTGATGAGTCCAAAAAATCGAGTAACAGCTAGCAACAAATTACACTTCATGCTCTTAAGATTCCTTTTTAAAACTAATAGTAGAGTATGTAAACGTTTGAATATATAGAGAAAGCACAGAATAATTAAGGATATTAAGTGAGAAAGTGAGAGAGAGAGAGAGAGACCAGAATAATGAAGGGTGCATAGATTGCAACCAAAGTAAGTGGGCATTATATTCATTGATCACAATTTGTAACATTCCAGTGTCGGAAAAGCAGGCATAAAGATAGAAGTCAGCAACTTTTACAGCAGAAGATAAAAAATGATCATTGATAATTGTACATCTAGCAGCTAAAAATGATTATTAGTTATGCATTTAACATAGGCAGTTTTTCACTTCAGAATTCAGATACATGCAATTAAATTAACCTTGACAACATGAAAAATATCCAGAATGAAAAAACGGGATCAGGAAGGACAGCAAATCAACCATAAAAATGTATGGCATATAAGAAAACATGATTCAGAAAGGAAATTACCCTTTGAGGATTTATCCCAGCAGCAGCAACATATAAATCCAGCTTTCCAATTGTTATTCCAATTCCCTGCACACCAAGATCTCCAAGACCCAATATTCGGCTTCCATCCGTGACAACAATCATATCTACCTGAAACTAACAAACATCAATAACTAAAAACAGAATCCTACCAACCTCCCAAGTTTACATTCTGATGCTCCATACCTCATTAGCATTGACCAAAACTCATATTTCATAATTAAACAAAAACATTCTTTGGAACATTGATACTAAAATTCATACTAAACCAGATGCAACATGTTTTTCTATAGTGGAAGAAAAATATATGAGAATGATGTCAAAGCACCAAAGAAAGGCAACTAAACATGATAATTGAAGTCGCTGACAAGGAAATTTCTAGAATAAAAAGAAGACTGGACTGCAAATTCTGCAATATGCATGCCCTAGAAAGCCTTTCAACTTCAACTTTATCATCACTACAGCATTAGCATAGCAACCAAGAAAAGCAATCGATCTATTACAAGAATCAGTTCAATTAACAAAAATGTCCTACTATTTAATACATCATGAAAAAGTATGAGACCTGATCAGCTGGCCAGTTGTACACCATGGACATCATTTCTCCACGATCTTCTGCACTGAAGTACATTCCACGAGGCCTCCTAAATAAACCACTGTAATTTTGGCAAACAAGTCCTACTGTTGGCGTATACACTACAGGTGCATATTCCTCAATATTGGCAAGCAACACCTGTGGAATTCATAAATAAACAAAAGACAATCAGAGATATCATCAATTTTTTATAAGATGAGTAGAGTGCTATTTACATCCTTTGAGAGATGCATTAATGAAAATATGCACAATCTAATGCATGTCAGATAGTCTGCTGGAAACTTGAAAATCTCCAAATAATTAATAAATCAACATAGGGCACAATGAAAAAGGGGAGGAGGAAAAATAAAACGATTTTACCTTATAGTACATTGTTTCATTTCTATCATGTAACCGGTTGAGAATCCGCCACTTAGCCAAAGCATATGGGTCAGATGGTCCATCTCTTACTTGTACTTGAAGCCTCTTCAAATCAACCACTGTAATTTAATACAACTTTTGAAAATTAAAATCCAGGAAATGAGTGTGAAGTCATGCTTGTGAAAAGTTAGCCAACTAAACATCTAAAGTTTGTGCACATTTACTCATACGAGTTTAAAATCAACAGAAAACCTAAACCATTCCCACTGTCATCATTGATTGCTTAATTTAACATAAGAAACAGAAACAGAGCTGAAATTGTTTATATAACCAATGCATAGTGTGAAATCATGCACAGTTAGTTCAGGAAAATAGAGGAAAGAGTAAAAACTTACTAAAACGTTCAATCTGCTGGTCGGCGGACATAACGTTAGGAGGAAGAAGACCGCGAAGATCGAGCCGATCTCGTTCCGTCACGGAAAATGCCGTTCCCTAATATGAATGCATCGGAGAATTCAACAAAAGCAGGATCAATGAAAAATAAGCTTCCAAAACTGTAAAACAACTTGGAACTGAGGTACCTTGTTGAACCAAGGATCATGAAGGATATCAAGGCTGCGCTTGTGCACGATGGTGGGACGGTGACCTTCAGTGGTGGTGAAAGATCTCGCCTGCGTAGCAGCGCCGATACTACGTTTGAGGCGTCTGACGAGAGACGTAGACGCTCTGATCTGATTGGAGAAGTTGGACATTGTGGGATTGTGGAAGGGGCAGAGAGATTCGATAGAACACTGAAACCCTAGAAAGTGTCACTGAGTAGGAACCATTACCGAGGAAATTGAAGAAGCTGAGACTGAAAGGAAAGGCGCAATCGCGATGGTTTCACTTTGCGCGTTATTCAACCGTCTGTTTTTGTCTTTTTCGGAATTCATTGTGTTCGTTACATCAGTCAGAGTCGGTCATCGGTCTTTTGGTTGTGTCGTGGCCCGTCGGCCAGGACGCCCTTCCTTGATTTGCGATTGGCTCGTAAAAAATTCATGGTTTTGTGTGTAATGCAATAAATATATATTTTTTATAATAAATTTATTTAAAAATTATAAAAATTAATTTTTATTTTAATATTATTAATATATAGATAATTTTAATTAATTAAATTAAAGTTAATATTATATTTATTTTTTATACATATTTATTATAAAAAAAGTTAATTATCCTCTTAAATTAGAAGTTCAATAAATTAAAAATTCATCTCCCTTTGGTTTAAGGATGTGGTAGTATTTTCATACTACAATAATATTATATTTCTTTTGTTCTTCTTTAATTGTCTTAGTCCCTTGACTTTAAATAAATTAACTTAATGTTTCATATAATAAATGAATGAAAATTGAAAAAAAAAATTATGATTTAAATGAAAATATCTAACAAAAATTATGTATAAAAAAGAAAAAAAAAATTAATTTTCATTTATTTATTATATAAATTATCTTGTTAAATTTTATTTAAAAGTCAAACTAAATTGGATTGGAGAGAATACATGAATAATAAAGGGGTTTTGGTTATTCCCATGGGGCTTTTGTTAAGATTACACAAATAATATAGGAAGTATATTTAATTTGATTGATTTTATTAGTTTATAACTATATAAAAGAACTAAAGTTATAATGTTTAAAAATATTAGTTTACAAGCTATTTTCATTCATTTGAATAAGAATTATCATCTATTTATCAATTAACAATTATTTTTAACAACCAAATAAAAAATTATGTGACCTGGCCCTAACAAAACATTGAGGGCTACAACCATGCCCATGATAGAATTCTGTAATTTGGTAGAGGACTAACCGCACAAAACATTTGTAAACCAAAATGTGTCCAAAATGTGATAGAAACAACCAGACCGTATTTATATTAAAAAACGTGTCATAATAGTTATGTTAGCATGTGTTTGTCAATGGATTTCATTGCTTCCATGGGCAGCCATAGGTGAAAATTGCAGTATGAGAAGGATTATCACAAATCTGACTGGACACCTATTTTTGTATACATCAACATCTTTTCTTCTTCTTTTTTTCGGCCATCTACCTGAACATCTTGTTCAATTAAGTGAAAATAAGAATTGTCCCATTAAGGTAAGCATCCTGTGGAAGCTGGATTGGAACCTACCACGACATCCTCATAATCACTAGAGTAAAACTGAGAACATGACATGAATTGAAATTCTGAAATTTTGCAAGAATCTCTTAGTATTTGATTAAATTAAACCCATTATAGAAACAAAACAACTGGTTTCAGATCCCATTCTTTAATAGTTCATCTAGCATAAATTCAATTACTAACCCTATAATACGTAGATTCAACATCCAGCTTTCAATTAAGCAAGAATTTTAATTAAGATGCCTTCTGACACTCAGCTTTTAGCTTTGGATCAAACATAATATGACCTTTTTATAAGCAGCAACCAATTGCCTTCTGCACTTTTCCTAAGCAGCTCGTTCTTCTTCTGATTCAAGCACATCCTCAGGTCAAATATTCCTTGCACTAAACTAACACCACCAAGAAAGCCATTTGCCAGTAGCTTAAATAAAAGTTCAAATTCCAGAAACATGGCAACTAAAAATCTCCTTATTCTGCTACATGCCTACATCAATAAGTAAAAAGTGAGCTTCTTACCAGCAGCTAAGTGTCTCTCTAGTTACAATTCTCACAAATTAATTGAGATTTGTTTTAGCTCATGTTTTGGGACGCATGTTGATCGGATGTGTGACCTTATTTCCAAAATGACCAACAGAAGCAATGACAAAGGGACAGATTTGTTATTGTCATGCCATCTTGGAGATGCTGTCAGGTGTAAGAAAGACTCCCCACTTTGAGACTTGATACCTTCAGCTTGTTCAGGTAGGAGCCATCTTCTGTGCTTGACTTTGGATCTGATGTTTCTTAGTCTCTGATAGTCTGATGTTTCTGTGTCACTGATAGTCTGATGTTGTTGCTTCCATAAATTTACTGGTATCCCCAACAATAATCTCCACCTTAGGAAACTCCTCTTCTGGAGAAGGGTCCAGAATTGGAACCAGTCCAGGTGGGAGTCCACTGCTCCTCTTATCCGCAAACAAACTCAAGCCCTAGAAAAAGCCTATGCTTGAAACTGTTAAAAGGCTTGCTTTGCCCCTTGCCTTCACTCTTCACTTTGAAGCCTACACATCTATGCCTCTACCAAGAACTTTCTCCAAAATGCAACTTTATCATCAACCAACATGATTCTCTCCCAAAAACTACAATCCCTAGTTCCAATTAAGCCTAATAACAGAATAAAGGAAGTTGCTTTTTTCCATTATCTTGACAATCTATAAAACAAAGCGTCAATCAAGAAAAAGAAAACAAATTCCCACCAAAATCCTCACCTGGGTTATGCTTTGGGCCAGATCTGGAAGCTGCTTTTCTCCGTACTCATCTGAAAGCTAAAAAACAACGGTCACGCCATTGATATACAGCATCCAAAACAGGATCTGGCATGGCAATTGCATACTACTCGTACCAAGAAGTAACAAAAAAGAGGTATTGGATATCGCTCAGAAAAGATTGTGCTGCATCTCAAGCGCCCGGATTTAAGGACGATATGCACTTCGTTACTTCATGTCATAGCAGTATGCATTTTGACATGCAAGATACTGTCCCAGATGTTTTATATCAATGGGTTGTTGTGAACATGGCGTGTTGGCTTTGACAGATGATGACTGAATTTCAAAGATTCCGACGGTTCACCAAAGCCAACAGAGCTGGAACAGGAGGTCGCTGCGGCGGTTCTGACTAATGAGATGGAAAGAACGGGAAGACCTGAGAGAAGAACAACTGGTCATTGTTAAGTAACGAAAACCAATTTGGTTGCTGGCTGGTTTGTTGCCACGTGGTTTGACCCGGACTTTATCCATAGTGGGCACGGCGCGGCCTGCTTTGGCCCAAAGAACAAACCTGTTTCAAACACTTCAGGCCCAATAACATTCTCTAGAAATTACATTGAATATTACTTACTCCGAAATTAATTTGATCGGATTTTAAGAGAAAATTTGTTTAGTACTTTTTCTTTTTAGCAGTTTACAATTTGATGATTTGGAAGAGAGAAAATTTTAAAAATATTGATGAAATTCAAAATCTCGACTAACTAACTCAAATGGCTTAAGGACTAAAAATGAACTATTTAAACTCAACGATCTAATTTTTTTGTTATTTATTATTTTATTTATAAAATTTAAATTTAAAATTTTATTTTAAAAAATAAAGTTATTTTTACTCGACTAACAGACCATTAATTAAATCAAATAATCCAATTGCTTCCTCACTGAAAGAATAATATATTTTACATAACATTTTTTACAGCTTTATTTGTATTAGATTCTTAAACAAAGATAATCGGATAAGGCTCCTCCCGAAATTAGGAATCTTTACTCAAAAAGTCGCTATGCTCATTGTGTGGAATCTGTCCTGGTTTAAAGGGTTTTTTTAATTTGTATTTTTAAAATATAAATTAGATAATTTTTAATTTAAATTGTAAGATATATCTTATTTTGTTTTTTTGTTTTTTATCAACTACACAAGAAAATAAGAATATATTTTCTTTCCAAACTAGTGCTACGTAACATAACCACTATTTTAGAAAAAACTGGTAAATAAGAAAATGAAAATGAAAATTTTAATGTTGTCTTCTTCTTGTTAAAAAATAGGAATAATATCCTCTTACCCTAAGTCCTTGACTTTTGGCTTTTAAAATATTTTTAGAGAAAGAAATCAACGATACGTAAATGCTTTTTCTTTCTTTCTTTTTTTTTCTATATATAAGACCTAAATGCTTTTTAAAAAAAAAATAGAGAAATATGAAAATATTTAAATACTTTTACTAAATATTTTTTTATTAAAATAGTATAAAAGATGTTATCTTATTTTATTTTTATCTATTTTATCTTTAAAAAATAAAAAAAAATAACTATTAAAAGATAAATTTAAAAAAAAATCTATCATTCTTCGATAGAGAATTTTTTTTTAACTTTCCATTCCTGAATAAGAATTTTTCTTTTTTGACCTTCTTTTGCCTAATAAAATTGATTAATAATATGCTTGATTTAAAAAAAAAAGGATAAAATTTTTAGCTAATTAAATTAATTTTTAAATATTATAATTTAATTAATTAAAAATTATATCTTTCTTTTTTATTTCTTTCAAATTAAATATATTATAAATATATTTTAATATTTTTATAACTCAAAATATTCCCCTTTTTTTTGTCTGAATTTTAAAAAAGTCCATTTTCTTAGAAAAAGGAACAATTCCTTTAGGAGCGTATGTCCCACTGAGAGAAATAAATAAATCAAATATTCCCTCGTTTAACAGGAAAGGTGAAAGCGAACGACCCACATTGAAAGAAAATAGATGATATTAAAAAAAAAAAAAAAGAAGTCATATGAGTATTTTAATATATGAATATATTTTTAATTTTGAATAATATAATAACAAATAATTTTCTTATTTCTTAAATTATTTTTTTCATATATCAAAAGATTTAAATACAAAATTTTTTATTTTATCTAAAAAAATTATTACTAATTAGGTAATTCGCTGTCATATCTAAGTTTTCTTTATTAAAAGGATTAATTTCATTTTCAGACTTTTTTTTTTTTTATAAACAATTTATCAACTAATCCAAACACCTAACAACTTTGGACGAACTACTTTGCTCGGAAAGCTCGGTTCTACAATTTCAGATTCTTTTTTTTTTTTAACAAAATTATATTGGGTGGAATTCAAATCACTACCCCAAAAAAAAAAGCACTTTACGAGTGAACTAAGGTCATTCTGCCGAAGTGCCTTCAATTTCAGAGCTCTTTTTTTTTTTTTAACAACAGACTTTTTTTTTGAACATGCAAACAACAGATTTTTTTTTAAAAATAATTTATAATTATTTATAAAACTAATTAAAAAAAAAAAGAATGAGATTTCATGTGTTCGAAGGTCCAATCCACCAAAAATAAACAATTTTAACCTAGAGTTCAATGCAATTTAGCCGGACCGTTCGCAAACAACAGACTTTTTAATCTAAAAGATTTTGGAAGACCAATGAATTGTTTGACTTTGCAAGGGCAGAGAAAGATAAGTTCTCCGTAGTGTCTGACACGGGTGCACTGGCCTGGTGTACATATTTTCTTTGTTCCTGGTTACAAGTTACAACATACAACATTGAAGAAACAAAAGCATAGGAAAGTACACCGGGGAGGAGCAGAGGAGCAGCGGCAAAGATCATGCCTTTCTTGAAACCAGGTTTTCACCCACACTTAAAATAATTCCCCAGTCTTTAGTCTTATTTATGCTTCAGAGAGTTTGATTGATCTTATAATATTGCTTTCTCTTTTTCCTCAGATTCTGCATAGTAGAAGTTTCTTCTATGTTCACACCCTTGATTTTTATCTCTGGTTGAATGATTCCCACTTGATTTTTTAAACTGGGTATGCTTTGGATTGCCTCAAAAAAGCTGCTTTCCTTTTGAATGGAGTAGGTTTTTTTCTTCTTTTTTGATCTGATTATAAGCATCAAGTTGTTTTTGCTGCATGTTTTCTTTGTCATGACATTTAGTGCTGGGGCCAATTTGCAATTGAATTATTATGTTCCAAGTGTTTGTGCTTATTTCTTTGCATTTATTCTTCAATTGTTTAGTCAATCATAGCTACAGAATCCTACTTTTGAATTGGAATGTTCTGGTTTAGAGTGATTAGTGTAGTGCTTAATTAACTTAAAGTGGAGAGTATTGGCTTTTTTAAATTGTGGTGCTTATTGATGCAGTAAGTGAGAACTGGATGTTGCAGATGCCTTCCCTCTTGTGATGCCTGAATGCAATAGCTTTTGCTTTGAGTGATGAAGGATAACATGGATGATGGGGAGGTAGAGCTTTCAGATCATGTTCTATTGTCGAATCCTAATTCATCTAGCAACTTTCAGGATTCGAGTTCTGTAGATTCGTTTCTTGATGAATTCTTGAAGAAGACCAAAACATGTACTCATGCACACACCTGCAACGCACCTGGACCTGATGCAGTGCATACGCATACATGCTACCACACACACACCCAAGTAATCACATCTAAAGATGATAGCCACTTGAATGATAAAGGACAGTCTAGTTTGAAACCAAGAAGTCGTTTGGGAAATAGAGAAGCTGTTAGAAAGTATAGAGAGAAAAAGAAGGCACACACTGCTTACTTAGAGGAGGAAGTGAAGAAGTTGCGCTTATTAAATCAGCAACTATTCAGGAGATTACAACGGCAAGCAACACTTGAAGCAGAGGTGTTTAGGCTAAGAACCCATTTGGTCGAGCTTAGAACAAAGATTGATGGTGAGTTAGGGTTGGGGGTTTTCCCCTTTCAAAAGCAGTGTAACACTAATACTATATTCAAAGAAGGTGATTGTGCATCACAGCCTACTGGTGGGCCAATAGGTCAACACTGTCAGACTGGTTTGCCATGCTTCCATC